ATTATGTTAGTTTTTTTTTTTAGCTTCGTTGTTTAATGTGGTCTATTTGTTATGATCATGGAACAAAAACAAATTTTGGGGTGCCCGCAATGAATCGATCTGAAGACCTTCGGAATTCGCAGTTTCTCGCCGGCTCTATCTTTATTAAACCATTTAGAACCTAAGATCGGTTTGTATATTCTTCATACTGTTCTCTATACATTTCCTATGGTATTTACATGAGGAATTTGTTGGGCAATCGAGGGCTTCTCTGGTGGACGATCATTTCCTATATTCACATAACCTAAATGTCTGATTTAACAATGATACTGTAACGAGAATTAAGATGCCAATCACTATAAAGAGTCAAAGGGCTTTCAGAGAAATTGTTGGAGAGTCACAATCCTGATCATGACTGTTTAAAGATAGACCCCCTTTCCCTTTGTCAATAGAGACTTTAAGCAGTCAGGACGGCAACGCCACAGACAACGTCGATTAAAAAATGAGTTTCTACTGTTAGTTAGCGAGGGTTCAAGTCCCAGACCGGACCAACGCTCAGGGTCTTAAAATAACCGAGAAGAATGTGCTGCCTTTGCAATAAAGTCCGCAAATGATTGAACATTCTAGTCCTCTCGGATAGGGACGATAAACCGTAGGCCCCGTCTTATGTATCTTCTCTGTACTGGCTAGTAGGGGGCGTTAAACAACCCTTACACGTAACGCATAGAGTAGGGAACGTAGCTACTGGTGTTTTGGTCTGGTCTTGTTATGTTTATAGAGGCCTCTATGCTGTAAAAGTATTTTAAATAAACAAATGTGTGGATGACTCCGAGGTAACTATTCTTACTCCTCGTGAACGTATGTTTGACGACTATTTCTGAAACAGGATCAAACTCTCTGGAACCCTTCCAACTGTGAAAGTTCATGTGACTGATGAGAAGCTTCTTCAGGTTATAAAGGTGTGATGGCATTGAATTTTCATAAATGAATAATTAATAGACCTTTGTATCGAAACAGATTACGAATNTTGTAAATTGTTCAATTTTGTGGATCCAATCGAAAACTTTCCCTGCATTGCCTTTAAGATGCGTTCGATTCCTAACGGAGACATTAATATTAATAGGGACTTTAAGCAGTCAGGACGGCAACGCCACGGAAGACGTCGATTAAAAAATGAGTTTCTACTTTTAGTTAGAATTTCGAAAATGGCTGCATGTGTTTACCGTCTCATAGGGCGCCAGACCTCAAACTCAACATAACGCATAAAAGTAGCGTTGAGTTCCAAATGTAAATTAAAATAATTTGCCGCCGCGGTTTCGCTTCGCAGACGACGCAAATTTTGGTGATTTCACGTTGTTGTTTTGCAAAGGACGGCTAAGAAATGTACAAAGTTTTAAAACGCACGTGCTGGGCTATTGTTCTGCCAATTAGATCTATTGTTTTTCCACGTTCTCGTTGCCGTAGCCGTCGTGGTTTGCTTAAAGTCACTAAAGTTGGCAACGAGGGAACTGAAGCGCTTAAGAAAACTCATCATTAAGGGGGGTGGGGGGGAAGGTCTGAGGTTCAAATCTCATGGGGACTTTTCTTCGTTCCACTATCGTCACAAATTTCATTTCTTTTAGGCCTTTGCATTATTACACAAACAAGTTGCCTTTTCAGGGACATTATTCTCATACTCTCCCCTCCCCCACCACTTCCCCTCGCTGAAGTACCCAATCACATTCTTTAAAAATTACTATATTTATTATGGCTGTCATATCCACACAAAATATGGCAATTACATTTTAAACGGTTTGCTATTTTACATTGTTTGCTACCTGCAAACGTAGAAACTACTGCGTTTCAAAATTACTGCCACCTGAACCCTGTTAAATGATAACAACGACAACAATAACTACAAACGCTTCATTTTACAAGGGTGCACGATTACAATGACACTGTAGTCTCCCTCTTGGCCATGTGTCATATAAAACGAACAACAACAGCACAGAACAACACTGATATTCTCCTGTGAGATTTGTATGATCGGGAGAACAGTTTTCTCCAACTCTTTTGTTTTCCTTTGGTATTTAGCTTGCTACCAGCATCCCAATACCAGGAGGTAAAGGAGCTTCGGACCAAACTGACAATAAACCAATGGTATGTTAGAAATTACTAAATATAGAGAGGTCAGTTTCAAATGCTACATGTGCTCTGATAAAAAAAAGAAAAAGACTCGAAGATAGTTTGGCGGAAATTCGTTTAAAACACACTTTTAACAACTCATGCCGAATCCTAAGGCAACATTGACTTTTTCTAAATTTCTCGTTGTAGGATATCCTTGGTGAAAATCCTCGGTATACAACTGCAAGGGCTCATGATGACGTCTCACAATTGGGTGTTTTGGAAGGTGGCAGGGGAGAACGAGTTGATGGAGCTGAGGAAATGGAAGAAATGTTCACGACACCACCTGAAACTCTTACAGGGTATTGTTTAGTTTCATACATTTTTTTTCGGTGGGGTAAGGGGGAAAAGGGGGAGAGTTTCTGAAAGATTTGTTCCTCAAGAGCCCCTATTTAATGGTTAAAAATTAGGCATAGAACAATAGACAACACAAGACTTTGGGAAGTAATCCCCACAAACTCTCTGCATAGCTCATTTCCCATTGTGTTTGCCAAAGTGTACCTCTAAATTTAAAATATCGAAAATTGGGCCAATCAGGAATAGTTATTTCAGTATTTTCAGTTACAACAATTTACATTTTTTTTCTGCAGAGTTTCCAACCTTGAACAAGCTAAACTTGAAGAAAAAGAGGCTTTGGCGAAACAAGTTAAAGTTTCACTTCAGTTTGAGATAGAAGAGGTGTGTTTGGGGAATTTTTTTTACTGAAGTAATCTTCTTATTCTACTTATGGGTCTGAATTTGTTGAAGCCTACGGTAGAAGAAAATTTATGAGAAAACTTTTTGGATTGTGTTGAGAAAACTAAAACCAAACGCACCCTAGTTACACATGTTTTTTCGCGCTTTGGGCGTTTTACTTGTTTTTGGATGGAATTCCTATTGTTTTCCAAAGGTATATGCCTTACTTCGCCAAACCGAAAAGCGCTCTTGATGGAAATTAATATATCTACCAGTATCAGAACTAAGGAGAAGCTTGCCAATTCTAAGTCGAATTTGAATGAGAACAGTTGGATTTTGTCCTCCTTTGGGATGACAGCCCGCTATTAAACCAACTGATCTTGAGCTTTACATACTGTATCACAGATATCCGTTGATGTCGACACCGTGGATAGTGGAGGGAAATCAAAGCCTTGTCTTGCGCTGTATGTCAAAGGCCTGGGTACCACTGTGGTGATGCATCCTTGGGATCTTTCAGCGAGTGCGTCCTTGTCTTCTTTGGTCGTAGCGGAGATGATTCATGGACCTGGAGGAGGCCCTCTTTATCTTGTGCAAACGCCTGTTGGGGCAGAGCTGCTCTCGGTTAAATTTGTTATGGTAAAGGACTTTATATTATCTTGTGAAGGGTACTGACTATCAATGACTCTGGGCTTTTGACAAGTCATGGTAAGCCTGGAAATTCATGGCATTTTACAGTTTCATTTGAGGTCGTAGAAGAGAGTACTGCTACTCTTGGAATTAGTTAAATCTCTCAACTATTTACTTGGCAAATATTGTTCTACCTACTTAAGAATGAAGTGAAAAATGACATGTAATACAGAGCAGGAGGCAGTCGGTGTTCTTGTAGTTTGAGGATGTTTTTCTTTTTCTTTTTTTTTTGTAATTTTATAGAAACGCTACTTTCTACTACCATTACTAGTATGCCGAAGTAGTTGAACAGTTGATAAGAAATGTATTGTGGGTGGTTATCCTTTCTGCGCCATCACTGTGTAGTGTTCTGTTGCTGCAGCACCTTTTATGTTTATTCTTGATTGTTACACACATTCTCCTTGTAAGCATATTAGAAAATGCATAGAGAACAGTATGGAGAATATGACTTGTATTCTGGTGTTAATGTGTAAAGGTTTACTTACTGCTTTTGGTGTCAACTATAGGTGGAATCGGAACACCCAGAGTACAGCTCAAAATTCAAGTCCACTAAGCAGTCTGTTGCTGTGGAGTTTTCTTCACTGCAAGTAAAGCTGCATCAAGAAGCTCTGCTCAACATCATTGATGTTGCATTCAAAATGGTGCCACCTAGGTACAGTGTATGTAGAGACATTTGAACTTAAACGAGATGTATGACTTCTGCAAACAGGCAATTCTAACAGCCTACAATTTGATGGCTGCAAGCGGAGCTCGCACTGCGCGCAGCAAAGCCCCATACTTTAACAAATTGGAAGTAATATTATCCCATCAAGCTGATAACATTTTATTCATCACATAAAGAAAACTATTTTTGGTTTTTTTCTCGAGCAGAGAAAAAGAATTCTGAGTCCCCACGAGAAACTGAGCCACAGAGAAGTCGTTTGCGTGTTGAGCCATTTACTAGGCTTGCATATGAGCAACGTCCTGCAAGGATCAGCCATGAACATGATCATACAAGATCAAATATGAATTTTAGCAATTACATATCCACGCGGTGATATTCTCCAAGTGGGAATCGAATCCACGTCACTGCGCCAACTCTCTTTGCATCAAGCATTATTTGAAGTAACATAGATGTTTTTTCTCTTTTTCTAGTGAAGAGACTCCAGCCCTGCCAGTTGTGTCTGCTGACAGTGCGAAAACGGAAGACCAAGATGAAAACAAAACGTCTGAGATGGTTACAACTAAAGGCACAAAGAAGAAAGATAGCAAAGATGAAATACAGATTGAGGTGACAGCTAAGCTAAGCGGAATCGATGTTACAGTGACATCTGTTGAGGGTGATTTGACGCATGTAATTATTGGAGGTAAGGGATTATTTAATTGTCTTCCAACTCAGTGTTGTCGAAAGCTAAGGGTTGTTTACGTTTGAGGCGGCTCAAAAAAGATATTCGTTTTTTAGCGTCTATGGTGTCTCAGATCACTACAACCATAATTTAGTGATTTGAAGATGAGATGTTACAAATTCTTCATCATTACTTCACAAGTTTTGGTGTCTGCCTTGGAACGATGAACCCGCAGAGCGGGCGTAATTTTGGCGAGCGAGTGCTCAGCATATCTCTTGATGCAAATTATAGCCGCCATCTTTGATTTTTGTAGCAGCGGAAGGCTAGAGAGGGAAAGAGGTTTGTACCAAGGGGGTGAGCAACGGTCAAAGAGAGTTAGACGGGGTCATAAAATAGAAGCTATGCCTCCTTTCAAACGATGGCGAGCCTGTATTAACTTGCCTAGATAAGACACCTGCACTGCAAGTTATTATGAAAAAAGTATTGGAATATAAACTTTTGAGCTACTCTTGAGTTGGATTTTACGTTTGATGAGTTCAATATTTTTTCCTTACATAAAGATTTGTCTGCCTCCTGTGTTGTTAGAGACAGCAGAACAGATGTTATTGCCAGGTATGTTTTACTTGGTTGTTCTAGTCGATTTTCCTTTTCCTTTTAAGGAGATGAAAATCACTCAAACTCTCCCAGTCTAAAGAATTATCGTTTGATAGAGAAATTTTCAATTGAGCGTTGAAAGTAATTCAGGATTGCTTTGGTTTCGCTTTATTCTTTAGGTGATTGGTCCCGAAATTCGCGCCACTTATCAACCAATTAGATTCAAAACTAAAACTAGTCGCGCCTTGGTCACTCGCGTTTTTCCCGCGCTTCAGTCAGTTTGCTTGTTTCTACTTCGAGTTCTCATTGGCTCCTGATGATATTTTCCTGGCTTTGATTGGCTGTTATGATTGCTTTGGTTTTGGTTTTAATACACTCTATCAAAAAGATCCTTTAAGTGTTCTTGTTTCTTTTTAGTATGAAAACTTTGTCAGTGATGGATTCCACTCCTGGGGCGTTCTATCCGAAGATAGTGTCCATCGTGAACCAGGAGGTGTTTAGCCTTCAGGTCTGTAAAATGAGGAAAGTTTATTTGAGAATTGGAACTGAGTGACAACAATGTCACAAGGTCATAAACTCGTGTAGTTTAAGTTCCGCTCTGCACCTATTGTATTGTTACCAGAGAATATCTCCTCCAAGTGTCCTTGGTAAAGAAAACTCACGTCAATTCTCACGTGAAGTAACTAACCACCCACAACTTTATCGGGCAGTTTGCTTGTTTTTACTCTGAGTTCTCATTGGCTCGTTGTGATATTTTACTCTGTTCTGATTGGACATCGTGATCACTTGGATTTTCATTATACGACAATCAATTGATAAGGGTTCTTTCATGGTCATCATTGCTGTTATAATTAGTGCTGCGATTAACTCGAGTTAGAGTAAAACTTTTTAACTGTAGTCCATACCTCTTGTTCTTAGGTTATTGCATACAATGGTGCAACTGCTGGGGTCAAGTTTAGAGACATGGAAGCTGTGGATTTGAAGTTCCAGATGGGAATCAGTTGTATCCGTGTCATCTTCCTAAACAAATTTGTGATGAAGCTGCTGGTTAGTCAATAGCGTCAGCGTTGATTTTTCTTGGGTGCATTCGTGATGACTTACAGCAGCAGAAATTGGAGCTTGTAAACCTCTTAGGGTACTAGTATTTTAAGATTGTGCGTTTTGGAAATGTTTCAGCCTTCCAACTGAGTAAAATGATATTTATTGTACCGATATTCAGGACGCCCCAGCAAAGAGCAATGGAATGACATTTATTTTCTGTAACAGACTACTGGTTAGAATCGGCCATGATATTTCGCCGAGAGAGGGGACGGGGGGGAGGGGGTTGGGGGATTTTATTTGAGTCACTACAAGGCTCAATAATCTTGTCAGGATTTCCCCCTCATTGGGGTCAATTTTCTGTAGTCCCCTCCTTCCTTTTCCTTTGTTGGTAACGACTGATCCCCTCCCCGGTCCCCCTGAATACCATATTATCCCCCCAAAATCCTCCACCCTTACCCCTTCACCCCCTCCCTCAGGTGATAAATTATGGCTGATCCCTTACACGTAAATGGTGCGGTTAATTTTTCTTGAGTATAAATTATCACCTTATCTTTCGGAAGATGAAACATTTTACAAGTTCATATTTGAATCTCCTTATTTTTTTTAATTTTTTTTCAGGACTTTTTGAACAAGTTTCAGCGGGCAAAAGATGCCATGGAGTATGCTAGAAAAACTGCTGCTCAGTCAGCCAGTGCCACAGTGAGTCACTCACCAGCTGTGTTTTTAAACCTTTCACTCCCAAGGTCTCATTAGAAATTCTCCTCACTATCTGCTATAGAATTCCTGTGATGTAAGTTCAGAGAATTTGGTATTGGATCAACTAAAAATCCCTAAATGGAAATGTTTCTTTATTCTGATCACTCGTCTGCTTGAGATTGTATTTTATGATACTTTTAAGGCGAAATTTTGATTTGGTCACTCATGGGAATAATAATAATAATAATAATAATAATAATAATAATGATAATAATAATAATAATAATACTTTATTCAATCAAATCACAAAAAAATAAATAATTTGAAAGAAAGGGAGACATCAGAGGTTAGCCCTATCGAGGTTGTTTCCAGAATTATGCAGGGTTTGCAGAATTATGCATATCGTCCACACTTTTCTACATACTTTTTCTGTTTAACAACGGAAAGAAATGATATTTTTTTTGTCGCGTTGCCGTTTCAACCGCTCAAATAAAAAGCAGTTGTGTTCGCAGTTTGTAATATTGCCCGAAAATCATTCTTGTCTATTAAAAAATCAGGAGACTCTCAATTTTAACCTTAATGTTTGACTCAGGGGCGGTACTGTTAAGTGAAATTAGACGCTATTCACTCTCCGGAATAAAAGAGTTTAGCCGTTGCAACATGTGGTCGAGGGAATCATTTTTAAACGCACTTTCTTAGATGTAAATATGTGTTTTTCTGATTTTTAGATTCAGAGTTTGCAAACCCAAAGCTTAAGAATAAGCTTGAATGTTTCTATTCAAGCACCTCTGGTTATTATCCCTGTGAGTTCGACGTCTCGCGATGCACTTGTCGCAAATCTGGGTCAGCTTAATGTGTCAAACACCTTCAATCTTGCTCATGGTGGGAAGGATCCTGAAGGAAGTGATGCTGTTGTTCTTGACAAGATGGCGGTGGAACTTAGTTCTGTAAAATTGTTGAGGTATGGATTTCAAAAATTTTCCTGCGCATTGTTATACGCTGTTACTTCGTTAGTCGTGGTTGTGCGTACCTTCAGCCAGCCTGAAGCCACTGCTCATAGCCATCACTTGCGCAGAAGTTGGACCGCTTTGTTAGTTATCCTTCAACACATTCCAAACGTTATGAGACCGGCTTCAATTCAGTGTAGTCCATGTTTTCACGAAATGAGTGTAATCACCCCATGTCTGGGTATCCTCAATTAGTCTTCAGTTCCTGAGAAAAAACCTCATCGAAAACTCCCATAACAACGGGATTTTAAATGTCTTATGAAGTTGATGAAAATAAGGAAGAAATGCATAAAACTGGCGTTTTCAACCATACACTGTATACTCGAGAGGGTCTCGCTTACCCGCTTACTCTTTCGTGGTACAAATTACCTTAAATAAGAGCACGAGAGATTATTTACTAGAGTATCTCCAGAGTTTTTGTTTTATTTGCAATTTTGGTTGTCTTGTAAAAGATTCATCTGACCCCTCGATTAACTATGATCTGACTAGTTGAGAAAGTGATGCAAGTTTTCCCTCTAAATTCATAAACTTAGAACTGTAAAACTAAACCAAACGTAACCAGGATTCCGTGTTGACCACAGAAAATCCATGCAATCAAGAAATACAATTTGAAAGGTGATGTTATTCAGTGATTGACACAGGCAAGAGAAGAATTCCGAGGGATCCCAAGAGGAGTTGAACCTACGACCCTTGGATTAGTATTTGGAATACTCTGCCATTGAGCTGTTGGAGACTCGTGGACCAAGGGGGACAAATTCCCTGCATACTGCTAGGATAGGACTATCGAAATATGATGCTTTAGCACAACTGTATAAATTAATGAGGATGGTAAATTTTAAGCTAAGTGATTTATGCCAAAGATGATGTTTTTTAGTGAATGACAAAAGCATATTTGGAAAAAAGAACTTCAAAGAGAAATTCATTGTTTGCTGCTGGGAACAGGCGGTAAGTTTAAGAGAGTGTGACACACTTGTATCTAATAAAATAATCCTTTTTCTTTGTACATCAAGAGCTGTGATGACTGATGGAGAAACCATAGGAGCGACCCAACTGGTCCTTGAACCAGCGAATCTGACTGTTCTTGTGGCTCGAAGCTTGTCTCCTTGGTATCACGATGTGCCTAATATCGATGTTGAGGGAAAGCTGCATGCAGTTACGGTAAGTTCATTTGGCGAAAAGCATTTGAAAGGAGAATAAACAATTTAACAGCTTCCGAACAGGATGGTTTGCTTTAAGTTATTTACTCCTACCACCCACCAATTTCAATCTCGGCATACACCCCTCTTAACCATATTGTTGCCCTTTGAATAAAGCAACATGGACCTTCAGGTACCTCGCCATTTTCCAGAAGAAATTATTTTTCAGTTAAGATACGTAGCTGCCGATTTTGGGCGAGTTTTAAGAGTCAGAGACTAATTTTGGGAAGAAAACTAAGGTATAGTGTGGCTGCTGATATTTCTTATCAATTAAAACTCAAGTAAAACCATTTTTTTTTTGGAGGATTTAAGTGCCGTAAGTCGGAGAGGGCAACAATCTCCTCAGCAGCAAGGGGATCCCCAATATACCCCAGTCATAGCTCACCTCCAAGCAGTTGTAAACACAACATCAACGAACTGTTGCTGCTTATCCAAAAAGTGCGAGGGAAGAGAGGGAGGGGGGCATGGAAACAGGGCCAGGAAATTAAACTGAGCACATGCACATGGCAGTGCCCTGGCAAACCTCCCGGAAGCCCCTGGGAAATAGATTCGTGCGAATCTGCCTTGTTCTAACTTTGTCTCAATTACATAGTCATAGCTCACCTCCAGGGATAGAGCGCTGGACTGTTGTGCGGGAGGTCGAGGGTTCGAGCCCCGGCCGGACCAACACTCGGGGTCTTAAAATAATTGAGAAGAATATGCTGCCTTTCAATATCAACAAATGGATAGATACTCTAGTCGTCTCGGATAGGGACGAATAAATGGAGGTCCCGTCTCCTGTAGGGTTAGGGGTAGGAGACGTTAATTTCCCACGCACGAGATTACTGTGTGATGGATGTCCTCCCCTGGGCTGGGATGGGTGGGTTTACTGGGCCCGCAGTAATTGGCGCAAGCTGTTGCGGTGTCCCTGCCTGTCGGCAAAGCTAATAAAACTAAAACATTTAGCTTCGTGAAAAATAAGAGAATTTAGATAGTATTACAGGTATTCATGAGATATTTACATGGCACGTGTAATCAAAGCTGAGTGGTATATGTCTTTGGATAGTTATGTGCTGGTGAGGATGACGTCAGAACTATACTGGGGATCTTGTTCAAGAATCTCAGTGAAGGAGTCGCACCTCACTCAGGTAAAATTGTCATGGTCAGTAACCACTTTTTGATTTTGTAAATGATTTTGACACTGATCGTTGATGTTTTTACAATTGCAGAGGATATCACTCCCATAGCACAAGATATAGTTGGTAAGGTTCTCCGTTTTTTAACTCTCGGGGTGTTGTTATGACAACCCGTATTACTTTCTTATATCTCTCTCAATGTTATTACCAGTTATGCTAATTTCCAATAAAAAGTTCGGGGCCGAAAATGAGTAGCCTGCGAAGCAAGCCCAGGGGGAAAGGAGGGGGGATTGGGGGGAGCGGAATGTGCAGAGGGGAGAGGGAGGGCTTGCCACAGACCCCCACTAACTAACGAAACGCCCCCTATTTTCATATTCATATCGTCTTGCATATGTCAATCAGCGCCTCTTAAAATTAACCAATCAGAAAGCGCCGTTAGCGAGAGCTTAGTGAACCATACAAACTGTCAAAACAACAACTAAAACGTGCTCCACGTGAGTGAGAAATGTCAGACGACAAGGAGAATCTGGTATCAAAATCTAAGAGAGGGAGAAAGCCAAAAGTTAATCCAGAAGACGTAGTTTGCCAGTTTTGTGGAGTAGATTTAAGAATTAAATTTGGAAGTGGCTCCAAGAGTTTTGTAAACATTTTTAATCAGAGTCAACTGAGGGAAGAATTTCGTTGTGTCTTCGCCGATCGCCTTCGAACGATCGGTTTTCACTTCGAAAATAAGTCGCACATATCTCAAATTATATGCCTTCCTTGTGCAAGAAAAGCTAACAGTTTTGCCAGTTTTATGAATTGTTGAATAAGGCCGCTTCTCAATGTCCGGATTCCCGTGATGTTTCGTCGAAATGAAAGTTCTCAACACCGACAGGAAAAAGTTCAGGTAGAAAGAGCTTGCGTGTCCGCTACCAGGCACATGCAAAACCTTCATCTAGCAGGTAAGCGTTGTATCGATTCTTGAGAGCAGAACTTCTCGAAATCACCGTCGTCCGCCATTTTCTAAAAGGTAGTCGCCACGAAGACTGTTTAGTTCGAGGGTTGATTGACAACGTGTTGCTCTCAACCAATGGGAATTTTTCGTCCATGCGAGATCGGAAATTTCATTGATTAGTGGGGGTCTGTGGCAAGCCCTCCCTCTCCCCTCCGCACATTCCGCTGGCCCCAATCCCCCCTCCTCTCCCCCAGGGCTTGCTTCGCAGGCTAAAAATTAGGATTAGTGAGGACGAACCAAAGTCTGATTTCTTTCGGATCTTATTATGTAGGAATATGTTACTTGGATGATGGCACTTTATCACTGGGTAATTGTATCAGTCCACGACCTGAAATATGAACCTCCAATTTACTTAATAAAGCTTAAATAGCCATGCCTTACTTTCCAGATGCTGCGGGCGTTGCTAGTCAGAGCTTGAGTGTTGCAGAACCAGCTTCGAGTGATGTTGTGTGGGACTTTGTGAGGTTTTCATTCGAGATTGAAGAAGTTTCAGCTGCAGTGTTCTTGAAGGAAAAGGAAAAGGTTAGTGGAGTGCTAAATGATTGTGCAAGGGGTAGCTTAAGTGGCTAATGTAACACCCTAGAATGTTTCGGTCCATTTTTAAACGGTGTTCCGTCTGTTGCTTCAGCCTAACGGCACCACGTCCTCTAGAAATGCAGAATGCTGTCTAGGGCAGTTGTCGCTGGCCCACGTGAAAGCCTCGGGGAGTATCAAATCCAACTCGGCAATATATGCCAGTGTGACGTTAGAGAGTTGTATTCTCGATGACAAAAGGCCACAGAGTGAGGAAGGAGTATCAAGGTAAGAAATGATGCAAAAAATGTGTAGTTCACCTGTGCGGTTTCCGATTTTGACTTTGAGTTACTACTTTTTCGCCGTTTTTAATACAATGGTTAATGTTTGTTACCATTATTGTTCGACTGAGTATCGTGGTAACATGTGACGTCGCCCCTTGCACGGTCGTCCCAAGTTCTGTCGCCCTCAAGTTCCGTCGCCCCCAAGTGAAGTTCTGTTGCCCCGAAATACGGTTTTATCGCCCTCAACACAAATTTGCGTCGTCCCCAACTTTTGATTTAAATTGAACTACACTGGATGTTGGTAAACATCCAGTGTCGTTCCAGAGCAACGATAACAGTCAATCAAAACGAGGGAAATGCAGTGAAGCCAATGAGAAGTCAAAATTTAAACCAAGTCGTCCTCTGTTTTGTGTTGTTTCTTTATCGTATCACAGAGTGAAGTAAAGGAATGTAATCGCGGATTGGTCTTGGCACTTAGTTCATAATTGCCCTACGTCTTGTAGCATGTTAATCTATGTACTGGTTATTCACAGAAAAATTTACAATGTTGGTTTTCAGGATGATTGAGAAGTTTACAGGTGGCTCAAGTGATGTAGAGAACATGATCGATATTCAGTTCCAGCAAACTGCTGCTCAGGACAAAACAAGTAAGTTTGATTACGATTTTCATTCTTATGGTCACGTTATCATTTGGCGACAACTCTACTTGGAGTGAAATGCACTTGTGGCCGCCGAGAGATGCAAAGCTCTCTGTAACTTTGTAAAGTGTTTATGTCTGCTCATGTGTTTAATAGTTTTGACGGGTTAACGTCAAAAATGCTACAAAATGTTTATCATTTCTTTAAACGAATGTGAACCTAAAATATAATCCGCAATTGAGAGTTTTTTTAATTCTAATTTAGACTAAGTTCCATACAGGAAGAGCATTTTGTCCTTTTTTTTTCATCCATACTGGTGCAGTACAAAATTGCGATAATGAGGTGAATAATTTCAGCATATTAACCTGTAGTGCAGTTTTCAATTGAATGACGTAAAACCAAAACCAAAGTTATCGTAACAGCCAGTCACTACAAGGTTTGCGTCATTATTAGCCAATGAGCACTCAAGTAAAAATAGGCAGACCACCAAAAGCGCGGGAAAACGTGGGCGACCAAGTCACGATTGGTTTTTGTCTGGCGTCTGACTGGTTAAGAGCATGGCGAAAGTTTTTTTAGACCAAGCACAGACCGAAAAGGAGCAAAATCAAAGCAATCTCGGATTGATTTCTATACTCACTTGAGAATCAGTTGGTGGTGAAATGAGATTGAGACTAGATTGTGCGGAATTCATTCAAACCGTGAGATACCGCAGTTTCGAGACCTTTTAATTTTTAAAAAACTCAAACTTGACGTTGTCATTTCCTGCATATTATATCTAGTTGAGATGGCAATACAGAGTTTCAACGTGGTTGTAAACTTGGAGTTTCTTCTGGTTCTATCTAACGTGTTTATGTCAGCCCTGGCCACGGAGGAATCAGATAGTTCGTTATCACCTGCCTCCCAACACCTATCTCAGGGGGTTCCCGTTACACACCCATCTGTCACTGTTGCGACCACTGATGAAGAATCTCCGCAAATCAATGTTCAGATCTCCATTAAAGACCCGGAAATTATCCTGCTAGCAGATGGTAGAGACAAAAATACCAATGCTCTCTTCTTGAAGGTTAGTATTTATCCAGCAGTGCACAGTTGGCATAATAGATCAGAGGTGGAAGTTCACAGCGACTTTACAGCCTAACATCAGTATGCATATTCTCCGTACTGTTCTCCAAACAATTCCTAAGGTGCTGACAAGGAGAATTTTATTTAACAATTAGAAGCTTTTTTAGTTGGGTGATAACTTCTTTTATTATCCAACTACACCTAGACGAGTACGAATAACGCCATAGACGAGTACAAATATCACGCGGTATTCGTACTCGTCTATTGTAGATTACCGGTTAAACTGGTTTTCTCGCATCGCGCAAGCGAAGAATTGGATTGTAGTTACGGAAAAAAAAAGTGGCGGACAATTTCAATCATATTTCCGACGACGAAGAGTCAGAATGGCTGGCAAATATAGATCCAAGTTCATTTGATGAATCGAACGAAGAAAAACAGCTTGACGACCAGAAAATTTCTTCATTTAATGAAGAAAATAGAAACAGCAACACAACAACGCGCCAATTCCGTTCCGCTTCGCATACTTCTGTCACGCACTCCCCGTAAATAAATATCCGCGAAATTCGCCCGCATAGTGCAGGAGTTGGGTCACGTTTGAGTTCTTCGTAGGTTCGTTTGTCGTTAACTAGTGCGTCCATTTTGTCGTGATAGTCAGTTTTGTCCATAACAACAGTAACTCGTCCTTTGTCGGCTGGTAGGATGACTATGTTCTCGTCGTTTCTCAGTCGTTTCAGTGCGCGTTGTTCGTCTTTAGTCAAGTTGCTGTCATGTAGTGACGTTGATTGTATAGTGGAGGCAATTCTGCTTCTGACGTTATCCTTGGTCGGCTCAGATAGCTCTCGTTGCCGAGACAGGGCCGCGTCAACACTAGATACAATAGCCTCGGTCGGTATGCGTTTAGGTGTTACATCTTTTACATTTATGTAGCGCAGACTTCTATGTGGATATATTCAGGTGCGCTTAACAGTATCGTAAGGTTGAGGTCGGACGTCGGCATTTTCATCAGGCGCCTCTGGCAGCCGCTTCAATTCATGTAGCGATCTCACCTTCCAACCCATCCCATCCCAACCCGGGGAAGACATCCACTACACAGTAATCTCGTGCATGGGAAATTTACGTCTCCAACCCCTAACCCTGCAGGAGACGGGACCTACGGCTTTACGTCTTATCCGAGAAGACGAAGCAATGTGAGTGAAGCGTCTTGCTTAAGGACACAACGTCATGCCCCAGCCAGGACTTGAACCCAGGCCAACCGACCCAGAGTCCAGCGCACTGACCACTGGACTACCCACGCCTAGGTTTAGAATATAAAAAATTAGCAGATAAGACACAGCCATATAATAAACATCTTATCTGGTACAGACCTTACTGCGTTCGGTCTCTACTGGCGACCTCGGTCAAGATTCTCCCATACAGACCTCCCTCTCGGTTAATAAGAACTAAATATTCTGGTGGCCTAAATGTGTGATTTAAGCGCGATATTGTAAGGAGAAATTAGATGCTAATCACTCCGGCTTAGTGGTCAAAAGGGCAAACTTTTATATGCTACCAAACAAAAGAAAGTTGACACTAGAAGTCAATGATGCAAGCAAACATACCACAAAGCAAAGAGACAGACAGTCATGCAAACAGGTGGAAAGAAATACCTGTAAAGCCGGAAAAGAAACTACGGTACAGAAAGAATAAACGCTGTCAAAGCCACTGTGACAGTTTTATTGAGTCTGTAACAAGTTATAGAATGACATTCTTTTTAAAGGAATTCGCGAAAGGTGCACCGAGTTTAAAAAAAAAAAACGTTTTGTGATTCTTTTAATTTAGAATTGGATTCCTATGAATAGTTGAAGTATGATGGCTTATTTATCACGGATATGTAGAGTAGAGTAGACATCTATATTTATACAGGATAGCCCCTTCAGTGTAGTAAACACTGGTATCAACGAGGGTCCTGTTACCCACCCATCCCACCCCAGGGGAGGACATCCATCACACAGTAATCTCGTGTGTGAGAAATTAACGTCTCCTGCCCCAAACCTTGCAGGAGACGGGACCTCCGTTTATTCGTCCCTATCCGAGAAGACTAGAATATCTAAACATTTCTTGATGTTGTAGTCCAGCACAACAGTCCAGCGCTCTATCCATTGAGCTAACCGGGAGGCGGTTAACCCGGGGTTCTCAACTCAGCTACACATTCTTAAGTGTTTTTCTATTCTCACCATAATTGAAGAGTTCGTTCCACATTTTATCTTTTTTTTCTTGCAGAGTACAATAGATTTCCGCTTCATTCAGGCTTTTGGACAACAAAAGATGTCAGGTTCTGTTTCAGATGTTGTAATTACCTCAGCAGCGTTTGACAAGGAGAGAAGAGCCTCAACCAAATCCAGGGTAAAACTTTGTTCCTTTTGAATGATCAGCGATGTGACAAAGTGGTTAGAGGAGTGAACTTACCTCCCGGAGCTCCTGAGGTCACATTTGTAAATAGTTAAGTCACATTTCTAAATAGCGAACTGCCAGCTGGAATTCTGAACCTTAATAGAGCGATTTGAGCGTCCAAAGTAATCCAAAGTTGCTTTGGTTGACTTTACTTTGCTTTGTGATTGGTCCAGAAAACTCGCATAACCAATCATATTCAAAACAACAACAAATTTCGACTTGGTCACACGCTTTTTCAACTGAAAGCGTGATTTTTCCCAAAGATCAGCCGAGACCCTCCGTGCTTTCTGCCTAAAAACTGCTGAGAGTGAGCTTTTCATATATCGAAAGTTTCTTCCTTACAAGGTCTTTGAACGCTTTACCCA